AGAAAAAATAAACAGTTGTAAAAGTGCTGTCAGAAACGCTCAAAGTTTGAGATTTTCTTTAGGGATCAAAAATTATTTCTGTGACGGATTACTTGAAATTACTCACCAGTACTACAGATACATTCTTTTCACACCCTGCAGGCATCCCAATAACAAAATTCTGATGCAGTTCTGGGATGGTGATTATTTTTTATAAAATGCAGAGGTTTATAAATAAATGCAAAAATTGTAAAGGGAAAATGCGGTGCATGAGTATGAGCAACATGTCAAATGTGCGAACGGCAAGCTGGCTTTGCTTTTATTCATGCAAAGAGAAGCCTCACACTTTCAACATCAGGACTGAGAGGAGCTCTACCCCACCAGTGACCTTGATGAGGCTGTAAAGTACAGACATATTTTTATATTTAAAAAGATACTAACATTAAGGTCAGTTGTTTGTCATTCCTTGTCATAGAATTTATTTTAATTGTTTATCCTTATGTTTTGCTTTCTTTTTCTAGTTTATTAAATGACAAAACTCCAAAAAAACACTTTCTTTGTCTTCTTTGTAATGTACATGTAGCCTTTCATGTACATTCATTCTCAGCTGTTGAAAAAAATAAATCTTTAATTCTGAAGCTTACCAGAATGACCTATGTACTATACATCTATTGACTTCAGTTTCAAGCCCTTTCTTTTGTAAACAGCTAGAGAAGGAAGTGTGTAAAGCTTTTCATGTACTGTAGCTATATTTTAAGAAATAATGAGAAAACATTTCAATAAATATTCTTATGAGACAAATATTAGGAAACAAAGTGTGGATAAAATGGCAATTTTAAAGAGATGTTTCTTACAAGGCCTTCTGTATTGTGTTGCATTCTTAAACGCTTTCACAAAAGGAACATTTACATTAAGCTGTGAAATATGGCCTTAAAGGGTCAAAACTTGTTAAGTCAAGAAAACATTAATGCTGTAATATTTATTTGCTATTGATTAGAAAACAAAGGCTGTTAAAAAAAACACAAAGCATGGCTTTTGTTTTCCTCGACAGAGGTTTTTTTACGCCAGGTGGTTGATCTGTGAAGAGGGTCTTAAGAGCATAGCAGAAAACCATGAAATTGCAAACAGCATAATGGACAAACACAAGCTGTCACTGTTAAGACTCCTAAATGATCAACCTTCAGTATACATAGCGGGCTGCATGAGGTTATTGGTACACCTGGTCTGCAAATGCTCATTGGAGCTACAGTAAATAACGCTTGGAGAGCTGCCAAACTGGGAATAATAAGCTATTAACATTTAGGAATATCTCTAATACCATAGTGCAAGATAGATCTTAATTTTGGATACAATATTCATTGATAACGTATGTACCCCTAAAATATTAATGTATATTAATCTATAATATATATATACACACACAAAGGTCTTTCAAACCTCTGTTAAAGAATTTTAATAAAGGTGCCTCACAATGGCTGGAGATTACTGTGGTTCAACTTAAAAAAACAAAACATGCATTTCAGATGCACATCCCACTCTTCAAACACAGTTTGAATCTACAGCAATCCACTGTCCAATGTGCGTCTCAAACTTATAGCTCTCCTGCACACGTTAAACAGCCCTGTCAGACTTCTTCTGCCTTCCTCAGCAGTTCAGCCACACTAGAATGGTAAATCTCCTCAGTTCTTTGCCGTACGGCACCGTCACCAGCGGACCGCAGCTCTCCGTCAGGAGTCGCACCTGTGCAGAACAGCAAACCCGAAAGGTTCCTCAACCCCCCCCGCCTGTGTCGAGTATTTCCTCCGATTTGCACAAAGTGCGTTCAGAGCTGCTGTGTGTTGGGATGCCAGTTCCAGGAGCCCAACTACAGCGCCCTTGCCATCTGTTCCCGTTTCTTCATCCCACTCTCACTTGGCAGCGGCCAACCCTGGTCAGCAGCAAGTCATCAATGAGGGCTCTGTGAAGCAAGCCCTGTCGATTTTAGGTCAAAGGCAAGATCGTTTTAGCGATTTCTGTGGCTGCTATTTTAATGTGCTGCCTTGAAACCAGCAGAAAAGGTTGGAGCAAAAATGGGGCATTTCATTACAAATAACAAAGTGGGGATAAAGTGGGGTACTAAATCTGGAGAACTATAAACTCTCACTTCAGTAAAACGTAATTTTAGATCACTGGCCAAAAATCATTTGCAAACATAAGACCCCACTGTGACCCTCCAGTTCCCCTGACACACACACTTGCCTGTTGACATTATGCCCTTAATGTTTGTGGTTTGCCAAGTTCAGAAATTGCAAAATCGTCAGATTAGAACAAGCAAGAAATTAACTAAATTAGGTGCGTGTAAAATCTGAACTTCATACAGGTCTGCCAGTGTTTTATAGTAATTAGGGCGTCATAATATTCAGGTAGCAATAGATTGTTCATAAAATACGATCTCATGAAGTGTCAAAAATAAACATGACTACATACTCCTTAAGCAATGTTCTATAAATGAATAAACCATGACTATTAAAACACTAGGACGTGATAAATTCAACACTCATCTTGAGGATCAGTATACATTTTACTGATGTGAGCCTTTATAAGATTGTCACAGCCTTTTAGTTTTCTTTCACTGTTCAATCATACTGCAAATCACGGCCTTCAAAAACAAAAAGTCAAATCTGAACTAGACGAATGTCATTCTGTCAACACCACATCTAAAAAAAGACAGAGAAAACAACCAAGAATGACCTCAAACTAGCCACACCAGACTAAAAATAAGCTGTCTGTAAACATAGCACTTCTCTTACTCCTCCGACTGTACAGCTTTGAGCACGCCGATCACTCTACAACTTAAAACGCACACCACAAAGAGAGTATGGCACTGTTCTTTAACTCATCCACAGTGACAAAACACGTTTGAATTGGGCCGATCAGATTGAGTGGCATTAAATAAGATAAGACCAGCTTTATTGTCCAGTAGAGGAAAACTTTTATGGACACACTGCTTCTGTACATCTGAATACATCACATCTACTGCACATGCACCACTCGTTAGAGAGGTGTCAGAAATGTTCTCTTTGACATTGAAATCATTTCTCTGAAACTAAATCTACCAGATTCTGGCTTAAGGGAATGGAGCTGGAGGGAAGCCAAAAGTGGAGGGCATTTGTACATTGAGTCAGACAGTGGAGATATTGCAGGCATGCAGCAATATCTCTAACGGTATGTATGTGGATTACATTAACATTTAGTGCTGTGTTCAGATGTTGGAGGTACTGTTCACTTGCAAGGAATTAGCAATTATGTACCTTACAAGGAGCGCTAGATATGCATGCCATGGTGGAAAACAACATAGGCAATGCTCATCAACTTTCCTTCACCAGGTTTTAATTTTTTTAAATACCTGTAACTACTGTTGTCATTTAGCAACCATCCAATTCCTATACGCAACTGTTTTTAAGAAATTAGCCCCACTGTCCTGATTTTTGTGAGGGTAATCCTTTATCTTCCCATGATCTCTCGCCGCCTGTATGCAAGTCAGGCTGTCTGCTGGCTGTATTAAATGATCGGCATTCACAGCAATTCAGATTTATAACTAGAAAAACACAACAAGAGACACCGCAAAGGGTATACAGAGGGGTCCATAAAATACAGCTGAAGGTTTGAGTTCTGCTGGAGAAAGAAACCCCAAGATTTTCATAACTGGGTGTGGCAAAGCTTGCTTTATCTTCAATGTCTTCAGAGCAGAGTCCGTCCTTCTGAAAAATCCCTGACAATACTGTTTGGCATTTGGCTTTCAAGTGATATATACAGATGTGCATTAATGACACCCAGGAACTTCTCCTCTTATCTTGCATGAGCAGGAAAAATCTTATATAATTTATCTTGTATATGTGGGTACATGGGATCCCCAGCCCTGTGGTTTTAGTAATAGTTTGAAATGATTTAGCTAAGTCTCCCTTAGGATGATAAACAATTTGTACCAATGAATATATTTCCAGTGGAGCCAATTTCCTGTGCAGTAGTGAACTTTCATTAAACCTGAAGGCCCATAATGTATATTATCTTGGAGTCTATTTAAACATTTATTATAAATGCTTATTTAATTAATTAGATGTCAGAACCGTAAGGAAACAAAAACAAAAAGCAGCTACTAATTTCAGTGATGGATTATTTCAGGACTTTCAATTTAACAGTGTTGGGATATGTTTTGCCAAGAATAACTTCAAAGGCTTAAATGTATTCCTGCTTACAGCTTTTATAATAAGGCAAAAGCAGACTGCTACAAGCTAAGAAATCAAAAAGTGCCACTGACAATACTGATCAATGTTAATGTATCAAAAGGATGGAGTTACACACTAATGTTCCATCTGTAAACATAAAAAAAATCTGCATAAGGCAGAAACAGTGATGGAGGCGAATAACACAGAGCCTTATAGGATGCTAATATTGAACTAGGCAATGCAGTATAAAAATATCAATGCAGGTAATCTGTGTATTTCATTGTTACACAATCTGTTTCAGGTTTTAAACACACCAGACAAACTATTTCCCTTGAGCCTCGATTTGTCAACAGATGTTAAAAACAACAGTGTAATGATAAAAAGTTGACTGTCAAGTCATCTGGAAGGTGCAATCATTCAAACTGTGGAATGTGGTACAGCGTCCTGAAAATACCAATAAATGTAATCTATATGTCCAAAACTTTTAATTTACAACTTGGAATATAAAACTATCATACTACAATATTACATTAATAAAATTATCTATCTTACTTCTATCTTACTTACTGAAAGGTGAAGTAGATGTTACACAGTGCATTTTTGTAGAGCACCGATCTAAAATACGAACACTGCATTCTTCCTGGCACTCAAATCAAAAACTCCAAATATTCCAAATGCCCACAATCATCTCTTCCAATATACATTTTCTACCTTGCCTTCTTACATAAAACTCGACCCTTAAGTTAGCACAGGTAAAAAAGAACAAAATTAAAAAATAATTAAAAAGAGAAAACCCGTTCGGCGACTCGTACTTACAGTTTTCAGCCTGGAAGTCTGGTACAAACTGCTCGTCATTGTCAGGTACTTGAGCTGCACAGAAAAGGGAAAACGATGGAGACATTTTAAGCAAGTGGAATGGACCCAACAAAAACATAGTGTTCTAGTATACTGCATTATGCTGCCAACCTACTGACAATACATTGACAAAGTTAATATTCCCTCATGCCAACAAAGTCCTTCACTTTCTAAATCTCAATTAATACTACATCTAAAAAAACATAGAACGACAATCATCCCTTGAACGAAAAACGCTGATACCTTATTTATGAGACTTATGTCTCAACACATTTTGAATTTGTTAGTTCATGAGAGTGAAACCCTTTCAACTGAAGCGAAAGACATAGGAAAAAAAAATCAAATAGCGTTATTTCCAGTGTGCAAGGAGAGGCATCTTGATGTCCGCAGTCTTGTTGTAGTGGTTTTCTTTTACACAATGTCCTAAGGATGTCTTTTATTTTTAGATAATGATGCGTCTTCAGAAAGAGTAGCATGGAGATAAAAAGATGATCCTAGCAATCTGAATGTAAGGGGTTTTTCATGCCAGGATTAAAGCTTCAACCCTCCAATTAGCCGATACTCTCCATCTCAAGTTAAGGCTTCACAATGAAACATTCTCTTCCCACATAAAGATGACTTTGAAGGGTTAATGCCACAATTCAGCAGTGCTCCGATACTAAATCACAATCATAAATCCTTTACAATTGTCATGTACATTATGAAAAATATAACATATTCTAGGACAAGAAATTCATAAACATTTACTTAACTAACAAAACTGGACCTCCAGCTATTTCTGGATTCCCCTAGGTAAAGATCAAACAGTCCCCAAGTGTAGCGATAGGAGTTTTTGCTGTCCTAAGCCATTAACAAGTTTATTTTTAAGCAGAAAACACTTGTCAAGCCTCATTTTCAGCCATTTTACTGGTAATATGAAATGGTGACTTACAAGTTCAGGCACGCAGAGACTTCTAAATAGTTTATTTAAAAAAGCTATAAAACAAGAAAACAAATCAAAATACTTATTTTAATATAGCAACCAATGTGAGAATGCCATGTTAACAAGATTCTATCTAGTAATTGAACCCCCTAGGACTTGATTTTTTTAGCAGCTATTTCTTAGTTCGATTACCAAGTAGAACAGGGATTTCAGTAATTCTTTTAAAACTATTTTTTAAAGTGTTAAATTAAATCTGAAATTTAACTAAATGTTTTGGATTTCCATTTATATTAATACTCTCTCTCTCTTTGTCTCCTTTGGCTTTTATTTTTAAAATGAGTGTGTTGCAGGTGAAAATTAGTTCAGCATCAATTCGTGTTAATTAAAAATAAATTGTTTGATCTAGGAAAATGTGCAAAAAGAGTGTTGAGCCACAACAGCAGGATCCTGTTTAAGAATTAGTATCTGAGAATAGAATAAAGTTTTAATTTTTCCACGCATTTCTGTCCTCTGCATATCTTACTGAATGCATAAGAACTGGCTTTATCAACACGATTCACAAAGATACAGGTGCAATATATCAAAAGGACATGGAAACACTGCATGTAAAATTCACGATAATTAAATAGTTTATTTCTCCAAATACAAACCAAATATTTTGAGCTAATTTTCAAAGCAACTTAAATAAATGAAATCATCCTTTAACAAGTAATGATCGGGACATAAATTTCATATGTAGGAGGAAATGACAAAATTGTTCTCTACAGCTTAAGTCAAAGAAAATAAACATCTGTTTCCACTGGCATCAGAAAAACAATCTAGTCAGTTTACCAGCAGAAGATCACAACCCCCAATAGAAAGGTCAACCTTTCTAATGACATTTACTGCACAGCATGTGTGAGAGGCTGCAATGGGTAGTGTATTGCAGTGTCATTAATGGAACTAATAAAGAACACAGCCTCCATTCTGTGGAGATCTGATGAAGAAACTGTTTTTCAAAATCCTTAATGTTTTAAGAAAGTACTGTATCTTGGCCATTCTTACACCAGTGCCCATTTCATCTGAAAGCCTTGATACTTTTTCATTTAAAAACTGTGGCTGAGATTATTAAAGTGATATGTACTATTCAAAGCAATAGGCACATTTTCTGTTTTCTTTTGTAGAACCCAGTATCAAGAGAACTTTTGGAGTATCCTAATACTGGGCCCAGACTTTCATATAAATCTGCCCATTGTTTCACAGAAATTAGGCTGGCCTGTCAAAATGTGAAGTCAGAGCACACAGTACATTCATGTTTTAATTAGACATTGCTTCATCCACTAAAATTTGGGCTTTGAGGATAAAACAGTAACCCGGAGCCAAACAAGCCAGAAGATGTATGAGTCATTCTTTCTGCCAGTGAATGAGACAGCTGATCAACCTAACAATTCCTAAAGACAGCAGGAGAACTGGAGCTTTGCCTCCATTCACAAAAAAAAAAAACATCATGAGGACCAAGAATGGGTTTGGAACGTTACATCCTTTGACTAAAAATGGGCAAAGCAAACTTTCATCATCCTGCAATTTCTCTATACGGAAGTACTACTGTATAAATATCAAGCTAGAACATAAACTTGTTAGATTTAATTATTAGATTGAATTAATAAATTTTTTAGATTTTCGGCAACACCTAATAAATTCCAAGACATTTTAAATGCAATATCAACAAAACTTAAGCAAGCATGTTTAACACATTTCAAGGATCTCCATCATATGCATACGTTCTGGGGAACCTAATTAATGGTTTTAAAAAATATAAAGACTAAAAACCAGCCAAATAAAACTCATTACATATATTTTTTCAAGAGAAAGGAAAGTGTTCCGATGTCTGACTAACCCATCATCTCTTTAATTCATGATGTCGGAAATTCAGTCCATCTAATATAATCTTTTCTCTTAGCTTCAATTACCTGAACTAATAAATCTTAGAAATAGGTAGGTGTTCATTTTTATCTTAATAGACAGGAAGTAATTCATTACATCTGGAATCTCAAATGAAATACTCTACTCATCGATTTAAGCCAGGTAAAATTGTAATTTTTACTGTAATAGTTATATTAACAGATGTGCAGTCATTTGTTTTAAAAAAGCTGAAATACTAAAATATTAAAATTACTAAATTCATTCTTTCAGCGTACTTGCAATATATACTTTAAAGTCTTACCTGATCCATGTTCTATAGACATACTCTCACATATATTTGAAAACATAAAAGAACATTTATATTGCTAGTATTTTTAAAAGGTTTTAAATAAGAGATAAAGGGAGTTTGGTGTTCTAAATTACTGATTTACTTTTTCAAGTAAAGATAGCCAAATAAATATATTTTTTAATCATTTGAGTAAATTACAAAAATAATCTTCACAAATTCCATCTAAAAACCATCTTTCTTTTGAAAGAAATGCAATTAATTTTAAAAACATTGTTAAACAGGAAATGCATGCAGAGTACCTCATTTATATGATTTGTATAAAAAATGAAGGACAGTGCTCAATAATATTAAAGGTTAAGATGACATATTCTTGTTTTTACATTTTAAAAGTGTGGTACTGTTAATCTGAAGAAACAAGCATTGGGTCACTCTGAAATCAGGATCTTACACAAACCCAGGAAATGCATGAGTTCACACCTCATTTCTACACTAAAAGTTCTCACAAAACATACAATTTAACACCCTTTTATGTTTTTTAGTTTTATGAACTGTTCAAAGCAGAGCACATACAGTACGCAAGTGGAAAACTGAAATATATCTGAAATATATCTAATAAATTAGATCATAGAGAGTGCTCTTGTTACATACATTATGTAAAACAAAAAGGATTGCAGTTCTGTTTTACAAGTTGTTTTGCATTCGTTTTCATACCCATCAGGCTTAAATGGTTTGCTAAGCAGTCAAATAGTACTCCACTGCTTTCTAAGATCCTGAGAGATGCAAAAAGCAAACACCATCCTCTTTTCAGCTTTGGTATGAACTGTTATTCTCTGTCAGATTTCAGATGACTGAAAAAAGAAAGGATGATCCAGCTTTCTTGGAGAATGTAACTCAGACTAATTTCATAAACATGTCACTATAAAAAGTAATATTACCATTACAGATGGACGTGTAAACCCAATTACGGGTCCTTATTACATATACACAAGTGTTCCTATTCAATTGCAGTTTTGCTGCTTTTTATTTCATTCATTTATCCACCGTTAGAGAACTGTTTATTCCCGGGAAATGTGGAGGCACCAGAAACCCCATTCCATAAGGATGGGGCTCAAGGCAGGAATAACCCGCTTCACAAAATTTCAAACGCTTAAAAAAATGGATTTTGATTAAATGCGGAATTCGCAAAGTCAAATGAATGAACACAACTGAACAAATACACATTCTTGTGGATATATATATAAACTGCTTTGCAATATTGAATTTTAAGAGCTGTTCTTGAAATTAAAAATAAAACTGAAACTAATACCACTGCTTAAAATTCTCCATTCCTCTAAATTTGGCAACCTTCAGTAAATTCAGTGTCCTACCCACATAAATACAGAAATAAAAATCGTGCCATCCAGTTCTTAAGTTATTTCTCCTTTGTTCGCTTCATGAAATTATCAATCTGACATTTACATATATTTTTAATTACCATAACATCATGTAGGAGAGGAAATAAAAATACCCACTCCAACAATAATCACAGACAAACATCACATTATAATTTGTCATTGGTAGATCAATGAAAACAGAACTTATATTGACCGTGAAGAAAGCAGCGAACACAGAGATCACAGTATGTGTGCGAGTCATTTTGCTTTTTTAAAAACCATGACCCCAAAGATTTCTGTACCCAGTTATTTAACACTAAGCATGAGCGAGACCAAAGCTGTTCTAAAATCCTGATTTAAATGGGACAGGAGTGGTAAAAAGAAAATCTTGGGAAAACATGTGGAAGACATCAGTACTTTAAATCTCTAACTCTATATAACATCAACTAAGAACTGCATTACCGAACATTTAAAGTAAATGGCACAATATAGCCATAAAAAAGTTTCACCACAAATGTCAAGATTAATAGCGAAACAATTACAAAATTTCACTGAGCCTTTCTTAACTTTTGCATGCAATATCTGCAATTTCAAAGTAAAACCCATCTGCTCATGAATACAAGAAGAGAAATCTTTCCCAACAGTTTTAGGCGGAAGACAGGTTTTTACACTGCAGTGATCTAGGACAGGGTAGATCTGTTATCGTTGCACTGTGTTGTTACTACGCTTTGTGTTCCGATATCGCCACAGAATCGGACACCAGCGAGGAAAGCAAAACTAAAAAGCTTGTAGGCATTTCATTTGTACTTAGCCATGCACACATTTACTTACTAGCTGTCCGATTGCTGCATCCTGAAGCTGACAAAAATGCCAGACTAACATGCCTACAAAATATCTAAAGGAGCTCTTGCACATACCCGTTGCCAATGCTAACCAAGGAATCATCCAGGAGCACAAAAAAAGTTTGAAAACAGTACACTAACATGAAGAAACCAAAACCAACAAATAGAAAACTGAAGAAGTACCAACCTAAACTTCTGTGTTGCAAACAAGGTGGGTAAAAGACACTGCCACTTAAATCCTGAAGCATCACGTCCCGATGAGCACACAAAGGCTATTTTTTGCCATCAGAAAAAAAAATCAAGGCGATGGATCATTAAAGTCTTTTTTTTTTGGCGTTGTGCACCTTAAAATATATCCAGATTAATATTAACAGTAATAATTGAAGCCGTACACTGTCAACACACTGGAGCTGGTCAAAACCAGTGGAAGAGAGAACTGAGAGATGGAGACTTGGTACATTAGTTCTTGCCAAAAGCAGATGTGATTCTGAGCTGCAAGCAATTTCTCCTGGTAATTTGTGATGACACTGGGAAGAGCTACTTCAGAATCCCCAAAGACCAGCTCGTCTGAGGTTCTAATGTATGCATGACACATGAGGTGGCTCTTTTAGAGCTCAATTAATTGGCCTGCACATCAAGAAGGTAACTTCAGGCAATTTCTGCTTTTTTTTTTCCTTCTGTTTGTCTTTCTCTCCCCCTCTCTCACTTGCACTAAACTAAGCAAGCTTTCTACAAGAACTGAAAAAGAAAATGCCTACCTTCAGCAAGCCAAGTCTCCTGTAGCTGGCTAAGATCCTGAAAGAGCTCTAAAAGAAGCAGAACGAAACGGGAAATGTTCAAAATCCCTTGCCATTTTGGGTTTTTTTCTCCAAAAAAATAGATTCCAAATAACACACTTCTTCATTTTAGGAGAAAGCACCAGCCATAAAGCATCCCAGGCAATGCACTAATTAAACTGCATTTCTAATAGGAAAGTAATTTTCTGAAACTTAGCTTTACAGCCGAGTGTTTTTTTTTTATTATTTTTAAGCAACTAGTTTGTTGAAGAATCCAGGTAATCACAAACAAATTGAATTTCGCAAGATGTTAAGCCGTGAAATGAACTTTTTCTTTCTTTCTTTTCCCCCAAGCTCACCTTCTGAGTCATGAGCCAGGTCTGTGTTAATGAATTTCCTTTTTCTATCATTTACAGGTCTCTCGTTACATTTCCTCCCCTGTGTGTTCTAGTAAAGAAAGGGTAAAAAAAATCAATTTCTGTTAAAGAACACCTTTTTATCAGGCTCTATATTAACTGAAGAAAACAAGTGCAAAACAGAATTCTTCACACTACCGTACGTATTGCGGCTTGTATATTATTGACTCCTACACTTTCTACAGCACAGTATCCCATTTTAAACGGGCAACTGGAAATTATTTCTACACACATGCAGTGTTTTAGTCTCCTCTCGCCGTCTATGAAAGGAACGCCTGACACTAATTATTAATATAATTATTAGGCCTAATAATAAAAAGAAACTCAGGCTCTGAATGCGCCTCCTGACGTGAAACGGTTAAAAATAACTCCTGCTAATCCTCACAAAGGTACTTGGAATCAGGTGGTTTCCTATCTGCCTGGATGGAAGTTATTAGCTAACTTTTTTTTTCTTGCTCACTCACGTTTGTAATCATGTAAGGCACTTGCTGATCGTAAAATCCATCCATTCTGCAGCTCATCAGCCGGTACCAGTGAGCTGGTTTATTTTGTCAGCATTTAGCTGGAGATTTCCACAGGGTCTGGAGTCCGATCAACCTAAAGGAAACAAGATGGCTTTAAAAAAAAAGAACAAAAAAAACATGAATGAACCGCCCGAACTTGCATAGCTAATTAGCCTAGAGCAGTTCCATTCATAAAAATATATCTCCAGACTACCGCCCTAACCTGGCGTGCAAATATGCAGCACAAGGGTTTTAAATGTAAAAGCAAAGCACGATGTTTTGCACTCGACATTTTTAGTCCTTGCACCTATAAAGTACACAGCACGCTTACTTTGCAGCGCCGACCTGCTTTTAAACGTGTGCTAAATGCGATGATGGCGATCAACATGTTTTTCTTCTCACGTAGCGGAACTACAGCCTTTTAAATATATATATATATTTTCCAGGCAAAACTCCTGCGGCGTTCACGGGGAAACTTAAGAAGTTAAAGGGGGGAAACTCACCAAAGTAGCCTGCACGTCATTCACCCATTCGATTCCCGGAGAATGTAATTATAAAACGTGAATTTGTGCAGTAGTTCACCTCAAAGCTCAAAGCTCAGTGATTGAGCTCAGTTCAATGGTTTTTCCTTCGTTTCTCCTCCAGGGGCCTCCAACCCAAACTGTGCATCTCTGTCTCCCATTGGCTGTCCGTCTCTTTCACAGGATCAGATTTCTGACTGTCAATCACAAAACCTGCCTGCGTGAGATTAAGTCTCAGAAATACATTTCCATACAACGTAGTCCGAGGTTATAGACTTTTATCCAATGTTAGGTCTGCTCTTGACGTGTGTTAAAAGTGCTACGTACATACTAAAAAAAAAACAATTCTATGTTTACAATAACAGCTCCATAACATCACTTTGCAAACTGCTTTTTAGCATCCCTGCTTTTATCCTTGTTATTTTTTGCTTGTGTATTTTTTTTATTTCTAGTGTAAACACCTTTTTGTGTTTTCGTGTAACAGGCAAGGCTTTTGAACATGCGCGACTTTTAAAACAAAACACGAAGAACTGGATAGCTACAATGACTTTTCTTTAAATAGACAGGACAAAGTGAACAAAGTCCTAGTGTTGGAACTACCATAAAGTCATTGCAACATCATAATCATGTTTACGAAACAAATCAACCAAGCAGTGCAGTTCGCCCTGCAGAAACTGGATAAACAACTCTGATGCACGAATATTTCGGAACGCAGAGATGTTCTTATATTCTCTCACTCCAAGTTGACTAGAAAGTAATCGGTGCAACAGTTTGCAAAGTCAGACACCCTGATCCAAACTGGAAAAGTCTGCAACCATAGTAACAGGGGTGTGTTTTTGAGCTGATCCAGTCGGAGCTGCGGGACACCATGTACTTCAGCCAATGGACTGTATGGGTTTCATCGTGATTGATGTACATAGACACAACAGGCTCGATTTGCCTGCAATTTGGACGAGGACCAACCATTTTCATTAAAAAAAAAGAGAAAAGGTCAGGGATGGTCACACGGGATGCCAACAAGGGGAAAAGAGTAAAAGCGAAAATGTGTGACTGAATGACAAGGTGTCGCACAACAGCGCATTTCACTGAATTCTGTTAATTCATGTACGACGTGTCTTTGCCCTGTTGACAGACTCCATTGCCCAAGAGACAACAAAGCCGGGTTTATCTGGTAAAACACTATGAGGGAGTAGCGAAATAACGTTGATACACAAGTTTCTCGGGGCTATGTACTGTATTACTGTATACACGTATACTGTATACTGCAGACATTTTCAATGACTATTGTGAATGATGTAATTTTGTGTTCATTTGTATACCGTACAAAATAGTTTTTTTGGATTATGTTACAAGTTTCGGAAGTTAAATGTGTCTGGTCTTCAGGTTTATTCAATTCGCAAGATTAAGCAGAGTGTTATTTGTTATGCTTTCCTGGAATCTGTCGGACCCAAAACTGAGAATTAAGCGTATCCAACTCTCTAACTTGCTTTTCTCTGCAGCAGTTTGATTTCTTGTATGTACAGTAGGGGAGTGAAGAGGCTTCACTTTGAATACCTGTTAGACTTGGAATATTATCATTTTTTTCTAGCTAAACGGTGCTAAAAAACAGGACCACTCTGCGTCTTTCTTTATTATTTTAAAGATGACAAAATCAAGGAATTATTTTGCCTATCAAAAATAAAATACTGAGATTTAAAAGAAGTGCTTTCACACAAATGACGCGACGTGTCCACTGCCTTCAGGATTTCTTTATACATTCCTTACATTAATTTCTGTATGGGTATACCCATATGAGCTCATAAATGAAATTTATCTTCACGGCATTTCTAATGAATAAAATTAAATTCAAGACGTGTTATACAACAACAATTCTGAGTTAACCCCATACTCATCAACAGACGAAAAAAAATGGAACATGAGAACAATGAGATAATTTAGTGCTTCAGTGTTACAAACAAGGGCTGTTAAAATTCTGTTAGACTTGTAAACTACAATTCATACGGTACATGGACTGGTATTCAAGAGTTATCTAGAGCTATTATACCTGTATCTATTATGTTTCCTTTACTGTATGTCTATGTATATTTACCTTAATATTTACCAAATTAAGTTACCAATTGCTAATTATTTACATTATATAATGTATTTTCATGAATAAAAGACATTAAATTACCACTGTAAACACTGCAGCAATGATTTCACAGCTACTGCATGTGAAAACAGTAGTATTTTGGTAACAGTATATTGTGGGCTTGTGGTATTTGTTATCTAAGGTGATCAGTGAAGTGTTTGTCAAGGATTAAGTTAATAAATATTCATATGGTCAGACAGGAGAGACTGTAATAAAAAAAAACAACTATCATGCTGTTGGTGGATTTATGACACTGGAACACGAAGGAAATTTACAAGTGCATGTTAAACATGCTTGATAAAAATGTTTCATTATGATGACATGAGTCAGGCTGTAGGGAGTCCCTGTGGAAGGAAGGCAGCACGAGTCTTGAAGGTGACCTCAGAGCAGAGTGGCCTACAACTGTGGTGAAAGAGGAAAGCACCAGGGCAGTTCTAGGCATTACTTTTGGAAGAGCGCCATGATATTATTACATTGGTGGCTGACACTGTGACAGCAATCCTGTGTGATCATATTGGGAACACATAAGGTGACTGAATGCTTTGTTCACAGAACGCTTTTCAGACAACTTGTACTGTAATTAAGCACGAAGAATCTCGGCGAAGGGAAGAGACGAGCTTAAGACTTGATTCATTAGTGTTGATATTAGACTGCAATTTACTATACAGTCACATCCCCCCAAAATCAAGGCAGTTTTATTTGTGCAGTGGGAATATTTAAATTCACCAGCAACAGAAATTCAAATCAGACTGTTTTAACAGGAAAGATCATGTGCAGCATTTGGATCTGGATGTTAAATGTTTAAAGCACACCTTGCGCCACACAGAGAGGTAATCACAGGCCGGAGATACTGTATGCACTTTCTCCTTTGCTTGCAAATCAAAGAGGGTGACAGTTCAAAAAATGTTTTTTTATGTGGTATCCATCTAAAAATTACATTCCGAAGATTTACAATCATCCTAATAATCACTTAACAAACTTTAACCATCACCTTTGCACTTAATATGCTGAATAAGGGCCAATCTTTTTTTTTCTGAGAAGCTGTCTTTTTGATTCAACCAAGCAAAGTATGCTGTGAATTTTGTAGAGCCAAATTTTATTCTCACTTTTACAGATTGTTTTTTGTTCATTTGAGAAAAGAAAGAGAAATGAATTCAAGGGACTTGTAGCGGCAATCTTTCAATACATTTCTTGGAAAAAAATCCTTTTATCTTTAAGACATATTGAAAAACACGATTCACTTTAAGGAGAAAACATCAAATCCTTTTATCTACTGTCCACAGTACTTCAGCCAGAGGGAAGAGATGAGCTGAGCTTATTCTGGCAGACAGGGGGCACAAGATGCGACTATGCACCAGACAGTAGGGGGTGCTCACGTACAGATCCCAATTAATCTAGCCAGTGTGTCCAGAGCACATGGAGAAAACTCACACAAACACAGTGAGAACACGTAGACACAAAACAAAAGGTGCCCCAGTCCAGAATCATAAGAACATAAGATAGTTTACAAGTGAGAGCAGCCACTCAGCCCTTGGAACCCATTAGGTAGTTAGTAGGTAATTGATCCCAAGATCTCATGTCATCCATCCAAGGTATCAGCTTCAACAACATTGTTGGGTAACTTATTCCCTACTCCAGCAGCCTCTTGTTTTCGGTTCTACTGTAAATGCTTTTCTGCTGGTTTGTGCTTTGTCTGTTATGAAGAAATACAGTATTCCCGGGTTTATTTTGTCCATGCCTTTGAGGATTCCTTCTTTGTTGAAGACTAAAAAGGTTCAGTTTCTCCAGCCTGTCAAAGATGGACTGAAACCCAGGACCCAGGAGCTTGACAGCATTTCAGTATCCTTTCTGGTTATTTAAAAAATGTTCATGGAAGAGCCTTTTTTATCTGAATTAAACAGTACAGAATGTGTAAAGAAAATCATTTTGTAGAAAATCTGTAGCTCGAATACTTAGAAGACGAAGTGCACTTAACCAGTATAGTGAGAAGTACTTCCCTTATTTCGGATGAAGTAACTCCTCTCGGAAGGGGAATTTAGGGCCTGCAAATGCCCTTGAAGAGGGACTGTGTGTCAGTGACCAGATAAGGATGCATTCTATCCAAATGTTTTTTCTAGCAGCAGTATGGGGTTATAGGAAGTGCACAGCCCTGCTGAAACTGTGTTGTTTTATAGGCACAACCCACATTCTTTTGTGCATTCTATAATGCTATCTACTAAACTACGGAGGTCTAAATTATGTGTAGTGTCCTCTTTGTCTGCAAGTGAAAAAAAAAACATTTACTCATTAAATAGATAGACACACCACAAGTCAAATCACATGCAAACAAGGTATTTTATTTAAAAGTCCTCAACAGCCAGTGAGATTATATCCTAGCAGAATGTGACAGGGCTACCTTATTTAGAAACAAATTATTTAGTGGAAAAGAAGGCTTGCTAACACAAGGATGATGGATGGGGGAGGGCAAACTGTAGCATGAGGCATTACAAGTGCTAATCACATCCTTTAACTCCTTCCATTGGCCTAGCAATTTACATACTGTACTGTCGTCCTAAACAGATCTTTTATCTATACAATAATAATAATAGTAATAATAATAATAATGAAGATGGTGATGATGTACTTGAACATAAAGGTCTGGATAGAAGTCATGTATGGTCTGTGCATGCCCATTTACATCAGCATACAGACAGAATAATCTCCGCTCTTTGATGGCAGAGATGTTTATTAGGACGGTGTTTTTCTTCTATTCTTGTTCAAAGCACGCGTCCCACTTTTTCTAGAGTCTGGAACAAGCTGCCCAGCCGTATCATTAAAGCTGGCACCCAGGCTTCTCTCAAGGAACAGCTGGATGGGAATCTTGCATAAATAAACTACTAACTACCTAATGGGCAAGATGGCCCAAACAGTTTCTCTTGATTGTTTCTTTTGTTATAACTTTAAAAGGTGGAGACACAGCAGCCACTTCTTCAATATTAAACTGCTCACTGTAGCACCGCAGTATGTGACACACCATACCAGCTCCACAATGTTGCAGCTGCAGTACAACATCAACCGGTCTTATGTACAATAACAATGTCCTGTATGGATTAAGAATTAACCAATTGCATGTATAATGTCAACATTCTGCGTCCATTGGCTCATAAAATATCAACATTTACTGTATAACTATATTTCAATCATTCAAACTTAGCACTTGTTGTTAATGTTAGAGCTCTGAGGTTGATCTCGCTCTTTCTGTTTATAATAATAGGTTGAACAGGTATCAAAAGAACCTCTTTTCTCTTTTTACAGTACCATACTTTATTAAAGTTGGCAAGCTTATCCAAACAGCCATAGCATTGCAACAATTTGCACAACAATGTGACGCCTCATACAGAATATCAGTGTCATTTACAAAAATACAGTTACATGTTAACACAAAAGCAATTTTCAGGTTTCTGACAGTGAAAGTTGAAACCCCAGTATCTCCATCCACAACAATTTGTTTCTTTATTGAAAAAAGGCATACTTCTTAAAAGACAATTAAAATCAATGTGCAAGAACAACCTTCACTTTTTTGCCCCAAAAGTTGCCTTGTCATTAACAAAAACATATAAATATATTTCTTTTAGAAAATTTAATAAAACTCAAATTTTATTGGAAAACCATCTTACAAAGTTATTAGGGATGATTCCCACGAGTCAAGTTAAAAACCGTGGCTCAAAATATATCACTCTGTAGTCTGTTTTGCCCCTGTTGATCTATGTTGTTTCATATATACTGTACAGGGATTGTTGTTTAATTTAGCTATTAGAGAATTTAAAACTAATTAAGTTATGCAGTATGAGTAACTGAATCCCTTTTATTCAATTAGAAATTATGAACTTTCTGACTTTTATTGGGGCTATTTTGTGAAAAGAGAGACCGAGACTTTATGAAACCGATAGCTTTATGAGCCAGACAGTGCATCTGAGACTTTACACATGATAAATTATAATAATTTTATTCACAAATCTACTGTAGTTATCAAAAGAAGCTTTGAAATATCAAAAAATAAAAATAAAGATTATTTTGTTTCCTTACTGGAAAAAGACACAAACATTCCCAACTCCATTAATATTAATATTAAAGTAAAGAAATACTGTAAATACTTGAATTTTTGTAATATTTCAAACTACATTCTTAAGAATGACATCAAACAAATTATAACCTACAGTATTGTATTTCCATCAAAAGAAAAACGTGCAATATGTTATCCCCATAGAAGGTTTGATGTCAAAATAGGGTTTCCTATAATAAATCAGGTTTACAAAAAAAATTTTTTCCATCTAATAATTTTATTCTATCATAAGAAAGCAAACAATGTAGTATCAATCATGCATATTGGATATGGTAGTTTAAAAAAATAAACATGCTAGTTCAGTGTAAGTTAACTATATTAAGATAATGCATAGTTTTAGATCTTAGAACTAACAAAAATGTGCAGAAAACACCATTCATTGTAAGATTTCACAGTAACCTGCTTTAGAATATAACGCAGATAGGGGAAGTGTAAATAATAAGGTCAATTTCTTTGATAATGTTAACATCTGTTATTTTATTAAATACAATTAATTCTTAATAACTCAGAGCTTTGAAGCATTTTAAAACAAACTGGGGATATTACACATCATATTATTGTCTAAAGCTTTTTCAGAGGCATCAACAAGTCAAGCTATGATCAGAAATTTTTCTTATCAGCTCAATCCCAAATATACATGCAAGTGCATAAATACAAGTAAAAAAATCCACAAGTATATCTATAGATATAAATCTTCAAATGGTTAAAAATGTAGAAAGCCTGAATGTAAAGGTAGTAGTTTAATTAAATAGTAAAATAAAGGCTCATAATGCAGCAGAAATTCATGATCTTAATGTCTGAGAGGACTAAGGAACATAGCGTAACAATTTGGCACATAGTTTTCTGTGGCACAAACAAATGTGTTTCTTTGTGTCGCCTTCTGCTGTTCATAGGAATACATATGACAGTGTATGATTCCACAGTTAAGGAGATGGAAAATAGGGCTTCTAAATGAAGCTGTCTGTTTGTGACAGCTTCAAAGGGAAATCCACAGAAGAGAAGAGTGCTCCTGTGAGCAGACGCCAAAGCAGATGCTGTAGAACAACAGGGGACAGGCCTGGTACTTCGAGGGAGCTAAAGGTAGCTTGATAAACAGCCGGTCATGTGCCTGGAAAGCCCCATCCATCAGAACTTATCAGGACAAATTAATGGTGACATGCCCTGATTAAACTTGCTGTGCTCTGTAATGTAAGGCATTTTCTACAGAGCTACTCGCTCACAAGAGGAAACAAATCAGAGGGATTTGTAAAAACTTGTGTTTGGGCTTTTTTTTTTTTTTTTTGGGAATGACACGCTGGCATGTTTTTTTCTATGACATTTTCATTTTGTCATCCGTGTATTGTGTTCTTCAAAAGAAGAGAAAATGAATTATTACATCATGTAAAACACAATGTTTGGTCTTTTGACAATCTGACTATAAATATAAACATATAAAGGTGATACAAATATACATATCTATACTTTATCTTTTGAGCTGGAAGTATTGAAATCACAATTAAGTTAGGCCCTTCCTTAACTAAGATGAGTATGAAATACTCACTAGCAACACTTTTAATTCAGGTTATTTTTTATCATATGCAAAATAAACTGCTTGCATTTTTTTTCCATTAAAGCATCATTAACATTCTCACTCAGGTGTGGCACAAGCCAGACAGGCTTTTCTCTCTTTTTTTCTCTCGTTCTGGCAACTCAAACGCTGTAGCTGGAAACATGGGGTAAAGAGGAAATCGCAATAATAATGCTGACAGCAACATGCTGTTTTTACAAACAGGGAGCCAAGCATTTGTGAAATAATATCTCGGAATTACACGGGAATACACTTTGATTTTTTTCTTACAAAATGTGATAATAAAATGTTATCACTTATTATTAATTCTGAACAGCACTAACACCTTGTAACTGTATTTGACCAGACAATATACAACATGTGTTAATGGGTAAGAGAAGAGTTCCATTTATTTGTCTCCTTTTTTGAATTCTTCAGTATTTTTTATGATCTCTTCGAGAAACTATACTTCTTTCTTTGATACTAACATTAATCTGGGATCAATTATAAATGAGCATATAAACTTAGTCCACAAATGCTGAATTTAATTGGATAGACCTGCCTCTACTGTTCTGGACTGTGCTAGCAGATCCAAAGTAACTGTATGAAAATAAACCAACCAGTGCTGGAGAAATGCAGCATACTGTACTTAACCTGAAGTGCAGTACAACCTGTACTGTGCGCCAGGAGCTACTGTACATGCAAGAGAGCATGTGACATTACTCACTGGCCCATGAATGACCATAGTGTGTGAGTGGATTTGTTGACCTCTATTATTTAATGTAAAGCAGTGCCTGCAATTTAGATGTGCAACATGTTAGTGAAGTTGCAATTAAAAAATATAATTTTTGCACTTTTACTCGCTGGTAAAGAAGGCGTGTGGTTAGAATTGCATTTCAAAGGCTGAAAGTCCTGCACAAAGCCCTGCCTGAACAAATGTTTTGAAGTCAAAGCAATATTTTCACAAAGGATCATTTTGCTAAAGTAGAAGCAGAGCACTTTAGCTAGCATCACTTAATTCACTATGATTAACCACCAGTGGCACTGTCCCAAGAACGCTCACATAGAAATCGTTTCCTCTCCACTCCCATGGTTTGGAACAGTTCACTCCATGACACAGACGTTTTTCCCCCGTCCTTCATGTTGTGAAAGAATGCAAACAGCAGTTTTAAGCACAAATAAATACATAAATAAACAGATAAATACATACACAGATTGATTCTGTGATGCGAATATTTTGAATTGGACAAAAACATTTAAAATATCACACACGCTCACTGACATTCCACGCTGAAATCAAAAACGGAGAAGTAGAAAAGACGGGACACGGGCGGAGTGCACAGATGCCTGCGCTGCCGGCCGTTAGGTACTGTAGGATCGAACGGATCTATTCCTTGCTCTGGCTCCGGCTCCGGGTTTTCCGCATGATGGAGGAAAAGAACCCAGTCCCTGGGGGAGGGCCCATCAGCACTGGAGCTTGGTTCTTGTGTGTTATTTTAATCTAGGAGGAGAAGAAAACATGGTCGGAAAAGTTATTCTTGTTTATAGTGCACAATAAATAAACACTTAAAATAATTTGTATAACATGACATTTTTACCTTCTCTATTTTGAGGCTGGCAGCAGTGCAAATTGTCCTGCAATTTATTATCATTCATAAACAGCCTGTCTACAGGCTGAAAGTGGTTTGCTGACCAACAAAAACACATTCTGTGTGCAGCGCAACTCATAAATAAAACTATAAATAGTATTGCAAAAATTAAAGGCTTCAGCTGAGTTCTGAGGCATGAGGCTCCAGGCCTTCCACCATCATTGAACCTGTTTCTAACAGAAAATCATAACAGGAGCATGACGTTGCCCAAAGAATGTTGTAACCCCAATCAGAATTACTAAGAGTTTTACATTTTTACAACAGTGTCTGCTGTGGTGCAGTCAATTGAAAATTAACATCTAGTCCCTGCGGTTCTCAAAATGCCCTACACTTTTCATCAGATGATGAACTGCTAGTTTACAGTATGATTAAAATGATAGTTAATGTTCGAATGTGCAAAAAAAGAACAAAATAAAGACTCCTTACAAAGTTAGTCTATGGAAGAGCACAAAAAAGGCTATAAGCATATTTGTTTTATAGTCTGCACAACTACAGTATGTTATATGTAACAGGTCCTAGTAAAGATCCTTGTGGTACTCCACTAATTATATCACCCCAATCTGACCATTCACCCCTTATCTGTACTCTCCACCGCCAAAACGTTGTGTTCTCTTTCTTCTTTTTTTCAGCATGGAATAAACCTATTACTTGTTCTCTCTTTTTATCATCCATTAACTAGTTCTCAATACAAACACACGCATTTCACTAAATGCCTTCCACCTGCAATTAATCTTTTAGGAGAATTTATCAAAAGCCTTCTGGAAATCTGAACACGCCAGGTCAGATACTGTGTGTATCCACTATGGTTGCTGATTGCTCAAAGAACTCTTACAACTTTGTTAGGCAAGAACTACCTTTTCTAGATCCATATTGACTACTTAATAATTGTATAATTTGGATATTATTTCCAAAAATAGATAAACAGATGGTGATCCTCTAGTTTAGTTATCATTTAGTTCCATCGAATTAAACATAACAGAAATCAGACGTATTGCTCTCCAGGTCCCTGGGTACTACCCCTATCTTAAGTGACTGTTGGAAGAGTTGTGTCAATGCCTTCTGTAAAACATTTTACAATTATATGATATTATGGGATAGGGCTTTGTAGATTTTCTAATCTTCAGTGCTTCTTGTACCTGAAACAATTCTGCCTCTTCTTAGCTATAACTATATAATACTTTAAAAATAACCTTCTTCTGTTGTTTGAGCCATGTCTGTGTGGTGAGCACGAGTCAATGTGCACCATGCATACTGTTAACAGGGCTCAGGTCGTGAAGGGGCTCCTATGGGTGTTTGGACTTTGGTGCTGCACCATTGGCTTCAATACAATTGGAAAATTACATTATTAAAAATGTGTCACTAATATACTGTAAAAACCACAGTTATACTGTGCATATGCTATGTTTCTCATTTTCATGAAGTCACGAGGAAAGGTCACAAATGAAAGACCATCTAGCTCATCATGCCGACAGGGTTGGTTGTAGGCTGCTCTTTTAATTATTTCATCCAAATGTTTTTGAAGGATCTCAAGCAATAAGTACAGTATACCCTCTCTTTACCTGACTAATGGAGGGGTAGGAGTGTCCGGTAAAGAGAGGGTATACTGTTAAATTACAGAGCCTAAAAACACACTCATATATGAGAAAAAATTAAACATTCTGTACAGTATATTATGCTTTCTGCATATGTATATCCATGACTGTGCTATATATAAAAACAATATATTATTGTAAATTACATTTGTAATTCTAAAAATAATACATTGTATTGATGAGAGACCAGTCTTGTCTGTATTGTACATTTGGGATAATATGATGCCTTCAGCTTGGATTAATTAATTCAGTTTCTTAAGGAACAGTTCTATCTCTTCAGTGGTGCCCTCAAAGCTTCACTATAAGTTTTGTTCTTTTTTTTGTTTTGGGATAATTTAAATACAGACGGATGTCGGATGATGAATTGCTCAAATAAGATTTTGTCCATTAAATCTAAAGTGCAGTCTATTAAAGATAGGGTTTACTGTATCATTGTTGCTGATACTGTATCATTGACTGGGGAGCTTATAAATTGTATTAATTTAATCAAAATATGTTGGGTTTATAATTTTTTTTACTTGTTTTTCTTTAATTCTCTGTTTCTCACTTTTAGAGTTAGATTATCTGGAGTATTCAAAATACTGAGTTAATTGTTTTAAATACTGGACTAATTTATATAGATATAATGTTTTATGCATGTGTGATTGAGAGGTCCACAAAGTATTGGGCATATGGTATATGCATAAGAAATATTCATTATCTTATAAAAGTACATAAGAGTTAAATATGTTATAATTAAATGACCATATTCTGGAAGAGTTAAAATGTCAGAAATGGTGAGATTAAATTGCCATACCTCCTAATAGTAACATTCCTAAGATGAAGACATCTAGAATATTCTGTAAAATTAAACAAGACATTTAATGAGAGCTTTGTCAGCTCCCAGCTAATTGAAACCAATTATCAAGGTGGCATTTTGATGCCAACTTTAAGATACATTGTAAGATAATAAATGATACTCATTATGTAATAAAAAGGTCAAATCATGCCTTAGGGGCCAGTGACGTTAACATTTTGCACAGAACAGTTTGAGACATTTTCATTAGTGAAAGCAAATCCAAAGAGAGATCAATCAGCTATTAAATATCAGTTGTCGGCTACTTTCAAACTACTGTTGACTAGAAAAAAGCTATTTCGTTTATAAAACATCCTTTGCATTTTACAGACATTTTTAACATGATCAAAAACATCTAATCTAACATCCAATAACCTTTAAGATCAACATCTAAGAAACAACAAAGGAAACATATTAAATTGAAAATAACATGAAGGGTACTGTATGTTTAATAATAGTGTTATATTTAAAACATAGTAGTTAAGGTTACTACAGTATATGCACATAGTTTATATGTTTCTGTCAAATTGCTTGATATTCCTGTCCTCTGCTTCTCCCATTTTCCTCTCCGTTACTCTGTGGATCCTATTACAGAGTCCACATCCATCTCCCTGCAGGAATCCCGTTTTATTTAAATGCAAGCCAAGTTGGGTCTCGGACATGGGGTACCACAAGTGTGAGCCTTATCAGTGACTTCTGATCCCTGTTTTATGGTCTTCCCAGTACTGTAGTTTGTGATGACACAGTAATTCGAAATCTGTGACTCCACAAGAAAAAGTGTGCAATACACTGTGGCCAAAAGCACACCGTTTCCACAGTGCCGCTCCCTCTGTGCTTTACAGTGGGAACAGCATGGGTGTGTTTGTGTAGTTCTCCCTTCTGCTGCCACAGGGCAGTTTTCCCATTTCAGTCTCAGCAGACTGCAGCACACAATCTCATCGGGTGTTCTCGGTGGTTCTGTTGCAACAAGAGATGTTTGGTGACAGAGTTGTTCAGAATGCAAGAAGGCCTATAGCATTAATGACAATTTAGCCAGGTAATAATAGTTACCTAAAAGACCAAATTAGGTTTCACCTTAAAACACTTCACATTACATGACTCTATTAGTGTCTGAAGTTTTGTTTTTTAAGACGAGAACTGCTCCCAACACAATTTGCTCATACAAATGAGAGGACATGACAAGAGGAAGTGTGGTACAAAGCAAATTTTGTAATATGGTTGGAAATGAGCAAACATTCAAATAGCTACAGTAGTTTCAGAAAAAAATACAATGTGAAGTCGGTTAATTACATGACATGATTACAACTTCTTGAATTTCTTACATCGCCAATCATTCTAGAATTTGCCAGCTACTTTTTTCTTTTATATCTACTGCATCACTCTTCCATTTCTAAACTTTAAAGACTGATTATAAGAGGCAGAACAACAGGACTGGTCTCCTTGTTCTGTACCCCCTTGTTGAGATACTCATATCAACCACTGACAGTGAGTGATAATTGGAATAGGGACAAGTGTCCACATCTCTAGGTTTGGACTTATAGTGTATCCACTTCAGTTTTACTCACAAGACATAATTGGACTACTCTGAGATGGGCCCTAATAGGTCTCACTGACAGCCTGACGTCTGCTCTGTGTTCTCAGGGAGTGACAGCGAAGTGGGAGTGTTTCTTTGTGGCTGTGTTTCGGGCGCAGGTCTCTTCAAATTCTGTCTCCTGAGATGACAGACAATATCCTTTGTCCTTTGTTCAGCCGTTGAATGACAACTCATCATTAGACTTACAGTATCTGTGTAGCAGAGGCCTGTTGGCTGATGCACAGAGGATGGGAGCCTAGAGTTTCACACCTGGCATCAGTAGGTCCTTTGCCCTCTTGCTGGTGTACAGGCGGAGCTTCACCACTGCTTGGTTCCATGGATACAGGGTGGATACTGTGTGAGGCTGGGGTGAGGCTGTGGACACCACTAAAGACCACGACTAAATACTGTGGTCTGATGGGGATTCTTTGGATCCTCTGTGGCTGGGAAGCAAGAGGGTGCCCACCCGGGCAGAGAAGATGGGATTGGGGTTTTGGGGATGGTTTATCACTGGGCGAGGTTTTTGGGGATGGGGGGTGGGGGGGGATTGGATTGTCCTTTTGCTTCTTTTTTTTTCAAAAAAGATCTGATTCCACGAGAAATTGTTTGGCCAATGATCTGTAAAAATGGTAGGCATTATTTAAGCTTTCTTTAGTTTGCTCATAGTGCTCTCATACTGCTAAGGTAAATATACAGGGACATGACTGGAAGCCTTTAATACTGCTTGATGTATTCTGGTACTGGATATTGTTACTGCAGCTATTGTCATTTTTATATTTCTTTCTGTGTCAAACACTGCCTGGGAGAGAATGTTTTGCTGGAAAACTTTAAACACTCTTTAGCTGACTAACCTTTAATTATTTTATTTCCATTTTATTTTTTCATATAGTAAATAACAGACAAATATGCCAATTAAATACTGTATGTTTTGTCACCATGGGGAACTGGGTTCAAGATCCTTCGACAGTCAGATTTAATCTATTTTTGAAAATCCACAGTATGTATTTACTAGTCTTATAACACAGTACTTCAATATGGTGTTTCTGTAAACTGTTAAACACAGGTAAAATCTGTGGGGTATTGTCATTACATGTGAACCCACTGTGAAAGTTATGCAAGTACAGTTTTAAAATATTGTAAATGATTGATTGTTTACCAAGTTTTCACTAATAGGTATAACAGAGTCTTTAAATTAATAGAGCTGTCATGCTTTATATTGTTAGAGAACCAGTGAATAACCAAAATGGAAATTGTACTGCTTTTCAAATGTGATGCTTTCAGAAAATTTACATTTAATTGGCATTAACAAAAAACTTTTAATGATCACAAATTAAATGCAAATTTGTCAAAAGTTATAGCACAGTGAAACAGAAAAAATGTTGTTTTGCATGTTAATACACTCTTCTGAAGTGTGTAAAAGCACACAAGCAGTAAATTAAATGTCAGTTTTTCTCCAGATTTTGAACTAAACGTGACGGTAGATTATGTATTGGTAAACAAACATAATTAACCAGATTAAGACATGTGAGAATAGAATGATAAAGAGAGAACATTACTGGCTGTTTCTAAGAAGACATAACCAAGCAAACCTGTTATAGACAGACCACACAACATAGAATACCAATGAATGAATAGCATAATAGGAAAAATATGTTTTATATATGAATAAAGATAGCATATTTTACATAAATACTGGTAAATTCATTCAGTTTCATGGTTTAAAATTCCTTATAAACAGATATGAATAGTTATAGAGAACTGTATTTTACAAATAATGCAGGTTTTCTAAAAGTATTCTGTGTTTTTTTTTCTAGAAAAGCCTCTGTTATACTATGTTCTGTAAGTAATCATTTGTTTGATTTTACTGTGTATCACTTTTGGTGAAGGTGCATTTCTGCATTTCCAAGTCACACACCATTTAAAACAATTTAGAAAGAAGATGTTGGTATCTGGTGACAGCAGGACCATTCCCCACATTACATCCCCCTGTCCCACATAGAGAAAGCTCTTCCTAACGCCTGGAAAGAAATGCACCAAAGAGTACAAAATCTGGGATCCCCTTGTGACCGACTCAATCAAAGACTTCATATGTCTTCTTCACTGGCTAACAGAACAGTAATATCATTGCAATTAATATTTCTCCTGACAGTGATCAAATTATCCAATAAAGTAAGTCTCAGTCATTTTGCTTCATGAATTCAAGACAAATTGAGTGGTACCTTAAACAGACGAATGGTACATGAAGAAACAAGTAGAAAGGAAGGTCTGAGCAAGATCAAGAGCTGAATGTTTTCTGAGCACGTCTCCAGGCAGGTGGCTCAGCAGGAGGTGAAAAGTGGGAGACCAGGAGAGATGTTTGTAAGACAGAGCTAAGTGACTGGCTGCCAAAATGGTATCACCCATCATACACTGATTAGCATGCACAGCAATCTGGAAAGTAATTATTAAATGTGTTAGTTTTATTTGCTTATCGCTTCTGATTTTGTTACCGATGATTAACCTATCTTTCAGAGCTGCTGCCTCTGGCCTAACTTCAAAATTCAGAGAATCAGAACGTATTTTCATGATAGCTGAATATGATTGAATTTCTACTTACAGTGCAAGGGGTCTGCATCCAGGGTTCTCCATCAATTTGCATTGGAAGAAATTTGCTGGTTCTACAATAAAGGAAGGAAATCATATACCATCATATACCTTCATATCAAGCACTGTGAGCTATATCACCCTGCAACTCACAACTGGTAGCCTACCAAAGCTCAGCAGGTGTGAGTCTGACCAGTACCTGGATGGGAGACTTCCTGGGAAGGCAAAGGGTGCTGCTGAAAGAGGTGCTAGTGGGGCCAGTAGGGGGCGCTCACCCTGCGGTCTGTGTGGTTCCTAATGCCCCAGTTTAGCGATGGAGATGCTATACTAAGGTGCGATTTGCTAGATAACGTGTAAAACCAATGTTCCGTTTCTTCATGGTCATTAAAAATCACAGGGCGTTTCTCGGAAAGAGTAGGGGTGTTAAGTCCCATGTCCTGGCCAAACGTGCCCCTGTCCTTTACCAATCATGGCCTCCAAGTAATCCCATCTATGAACTGGCTTCATCACTCTGTTCTCCTCCCCACAGAGAGCTGGTGTGTGGGGAGCGTACTGGAGCACTTAGGCTGCTGCCAAAGCAGGGTGGTTACTACATCATCCAGGTGGGGCTGCAAGTGGTGGTGGACGGGATCCCTATTACCTGTTAAGGGCTTTGAGTGAGGGCTATATAAGTGTGAGGTTTATGATTATTATTGTTGTTATTTTCAATAGTATATTGAAGTCTTGAGAGTAAGAATGATGGAAGAAAATCTGAATCTGAAATCTGTGTTCCCATTAAAACAGCTTATTCAGTTAAGACTCAAGCCTCCATTTGTGTAGCAGAATGGATACTTAGTGCACCATGTATAACATACAGTAGCAGCCTTCAGTCAATTTAAATGGTTAAATGATAAATGTTTGAATAATTTCAAGTGTGACTGTTGTTTCATAGATGAAAGTGCTGTAACTGCTGTGCTGTTGGCAATCTAAGTTGCCAGTACTGGGACAGGAGAACTCTAAGAAAAAATAGATTATTTTCACAAGTGGACCAGTAAGAGGGGCTCTCTCCACCTGGACCAGAAGGAACACTGTGTCATAGGATGAGCCGTTCTTTGGAAAGAATGTTACATGGAGGCCCTAACTTCTTGGTCATTAAAATTCCCAGCACTCTTTGTCAAGAGCAGGGGTGAAGCAATTTCTGCTGTGATGTGGGGCACTTCAATGGATGGTGTATAAAGTTGTTCCCTTTCTATATTTCTAAAACTTTGAGATCCTTCAAGATCAGAGCTTTTTATTGATTATTATTATTATGTAGGAAAACCTGTATATCTCACCTTATGGTAGCAGAAGAACACTGGGCAAGTCTTCTCCCTGCACTTTTCAAACCTGTGTATATCTGCCCCATCTCCATAGCTCCTTCTAGTCCAACTACTTCGAAAAGCTGATCAGATGGATCTATAAACAGAAGGGAAGAAGACTCGAACATTTAATTTGAAATGAAAATAATTCAAATTGAACTTGTATTATTTGTTTATAACTAAATTTAAAAATGTGCTCAAAGCAAAACCATAAAATCATGTTTGTGTTAATGCATGTTTTGGTTTTGGACTACCTAGTGAAAAATAAATACCAAATAATTAGACAGGGGATTCTCTGAGCATAATAACAGTGTGAAGTGAAAGGTTGGTGCTGTTTGTGTTTTTTTAGTGTTTTTGAAGTTATGAACATTGATTTTTCCTCTGTTGGAAGCACAGTGTCTTACTGAGGCCATCTGTTCCTCAGTGCTTCAGTGTTAGGGGTACTTCTTCTCATTGTGTGCATCTGAATGTACTGCTCATAGTCACTGTAATTAATTGAACTATGTTACATGCTGTAAATAAAACCACTGGAGCTCAAGAAAGGATGTCTGGTTTGATGTTTCACCATTAGAAAACTAAAGGTTTTCAGTAACACAGAGTAGAGGTGATGTTTTCTCAGAAAAAGAAAAGCATAGTGATTATTCTTTTATTTTAATGTAGTTGTAAATATTCTTTCACATGCCACATGGTGAACATGAGTGGTGAGAGAGAACAGGGCAAACACACTGCCCGTTACTAGTCCTATTCCCACAGTGAGCTTTAAAATGCTAACATGGCAGTACAGTTTGCAGAGAATTTCTAAAAACTGGTGCCTGAATATTGCTGATTTTTCTAAGAACTTCTAATACAAGGAAGCAAGAATTATTTATCATGAAATTCAAAGCCTTGATGGCACCTTTATTCTCTCAAAAGATGCACTTTCATGTTTTTCATGTTCTCTTTAACACTATTACCTACAGTATATAGTAGGTCTTTTCAAAACAAGCATTGATTCAGTGAACAGGAGCTGAACAGGATTCTGTAGCCTTCAAAATTTAGATTAGCATAAGCATTCACTCTGAAGATGTTGTACAGTATTTATGTACAGTTCAATAAAAGCCTGGATTAAATTTATTTGGTGTAATCCAGATATAAATGCATGCTTATAAATGTATTAATAATTTCAGTAATAAATTGATCAGTACAGATCACATGCTTCTTTAAGCTTTTAGTCATAATTTGTTGTAGATACAGTAGGTTCTGGGTTGATTTTGACAAAGAATAAAGAATAAAGAATCAATACTACTGATGAATTGACTGATGTTATGAACATGTCTGAAACAGGAAGAACTAAATTTTTAATTATGGATCAAATGTGATGAAAATTTTGGTATTCAGAGGAAAAATAAAAACACTCATACTGTAAATGTCAAACACGCTAAACTGAATATTTTGCAACCTGTCTGCCCTCACAACTGTGGATTGGTAATTAATGTAAAACATACAGTACTATTATTAATAATATATGCGATCTCACTTTGTTCATTATTTTCTTCATAAATGCTAAGTGTCATTTTGTAAAAAGGATTATCACATTATCTTGGCTGATGTGATTGGTCTTTGTGGTTTGGCGTAAATAGTAAGGCATTGAAAATTAATTTGTATCAGCTATAGACAGGCTTGCTGAAACATGGACAATGTAATAATTTAATTAAAACCCATTCATTTATATTGAGTGTTTTTTGCAGTCAATGCACTCAAGCACAGAACAAAATTTATTCTAGAAATATGGGTGAAAAGCCTTTGGAGTACTGGCACAAATTTGGACAGTTTTTCTAGCGTGCTTTTTTTGGGTGATATTTTCATAATGTTAAGTGATGTACTGTATCCTAGTTTTGTGCGACACAGTAGCAGTTGCATCGAATAACCGTGAGCCTGGTAAGTCTTCAGTGATAATGCCTGATCCCTGTCAATGAGAAACAGATCTCTCTCATTCTAGAAATCCATGAAGCCCTAGAATAACTCCACTCTCTCTTTTAAAGCAGGGATAAAAGTACTATACTTCTCTACTGTAAAACGGTTTGAGCATAAACCCAATAATGCTGAAATCCTCAACCAGTGCTGATAAAAAGTGTGCTCTAACTTTGAACATTTTGATGCTTTCAGTAGTAATTTTCCCAAATTAACTGGATTATAAAATTAATTGGATTATTTGTAACACCAGATTTACTGTACTTAGACGGATGTCTATGTTGCCAAACCACATTATTAGAAATTTTCAAAACTTATTTTGTCTGAAACATTAAGCCAGCAGACATTATTTTTTATTGTCATAATTACATAGGAATAGAAGAATGACAGGAGACCATTTGGCCTGTCTGGCTTTTTCATTTTTTTTTATTAGCTAATTGATCTGGGGATCTCATCCAGCTGTTTCTTGACGGTCGGGTAGGTTCTGTATATTCATTACTTGGTTGGGTGGGTTGTTTCTTTTTGGTTCCCCCATCTTTGTTTGTAAGTGAGTTGTTTTTTTTTTTCTTTCTATTTTTTGTTGCTTGGTTGGTAAAAAAATTTTGATTACCTTTTTTTTGGGTTTTTTTTATTGTTCCTTTTGCTTTCTTTTTTTGGAAATTCTAGAAAACAAATACAACAATATTTTCTTATGTACAGTATGTTGTAATATTTGTGTAAATATCTCACAAACCTGTTGGGGTGCTGGTTTAACAAGTTATAAAGACGGACTAAAAGTGTACGAGCAGTTCACCTTTACGTATTAAAAACTACTGCAGTAACATTGTTTCATTTTTTCAGAATTTAAGGGAAAAAACAAACATTAAACAAACGTACTGCTGACCCTATGGAAGTTTTTATACTCGTTAATCCCTAAGTATCATGGAATTGTGTTGAAAACTGAGAACAGGAAGCACTCCTTTACCCAAAGGGTTGTGGGAGGGTGGCACAGGCTGCACAGTCGTGCTGTTGAAGCCGATACCTGGGTTTCTTTCAGGACGTGGATCCTGGATCAGTTAGCTACTACCAGACAGGTCTGGTGGGCTAAACGGCTTCCTCTTAAAACCACTACAGACCTGTTTGTAACATTGTCAAAGGTTTACTATGCTTGTTTGTGAACAATAACAGTCTGACGGTAATTCCTCAGGTGAAATAATTTGTACCACGCAGGATCCGTACGCGGATCTTTCCAAGGGGGGAAAAGCTTTGGTTATGTACAGAGAGCCTCCCCTTGTTATTCTGTCTGTGAATGAGCTGCTGCTAGCCTGTGTGGGAATGTATGCACAGCTCCCTGACTCTCTTGCCCTTTTTTATAAACCCAGCTGCTTCACGTGTCTCCTCACATTAGTGCTGTCAGTAAACAACGGCCAGGATGATGAACGGCTGCTGATGTCAGCTCTTTGTGAATGGTATGCAGCAAAAGGCTGACCCTTCACACATACATGTTGTGGTGACATCCCCAGTCAACAGCTTCTCTCGTTACAAAACTTATATAACAAGCTTATTCAACCTTATATATAAGGTTAATGATATAATAAGGTTATATATAATAGTAATGTTATCCTTCAGGTAGGGGCCCATAGAATATTAAAAGAGCCCCATTAATCAGAAGTTAAGAAATCACTTATCAGTTATAAGGGGAACACGACACACATCTTCTCTCTTTTAACTACATAACAATATCCTGTATGTTCTCATTTTTATCATGGAAAATTTAAGCAAGTGCTGTGCAAATTAAAAAAAACTTTTTGAATATAGATTTTGCAAATCAAGAACGATAATAAAAATGAAATAAGAATGAACTGGATTTAGAGTACACAGCACTTTCATTCCAAAGGATCTCAAAGGAGGCGACCCACTTCATCCACCACCGAAGAGCAGCAGCCATTCTGCACCCAGGTAGTGAAGGGCAAAATGACTTCACCAGTTGAATTAAGAGAGGACTTCCAGCAGGCTAGATTGCACAAGACCGGAGGAAAATTGAACTGAGACCAGCCTACACCCCTTCTTTTACAAACTGTGCCATGGGGTCTTTTAAGACCCAAAGGACACCACCTGCTACAGCACAGTGTCCCTTCGGTTACCATACGGGAGTGTTACGACCCCAAGTGTCCAGGGGAAAAGGGGTGTAACATTTAGGATAATTCTTTTGGAAACAGGTGGGTTCTGGTGAGGGACTAGGAAGCGTGATACAAGGGTAAGGAACTAGAGTGGTGCCAAAGGAAAGAAAATAACAAACAAAATGGAGCTGGCTAGGACAGTGAGGGAAAGCTAATCTGACTACAAAAGAAAACCCGAAACACACGGTCTTCGGCGTCTTCAACACCCTAGCTAATCTGCTCTGACTACCCAAAACCATACAAGACAAATGGCACTCACCCGTACTAACCTAGTGTACTAATACAAAATCAACTACAGTAAGTGTGTAAAGTGTACCCAACAACCTAAACTAACCTTATATACAAAAGTTCACACAAAAACACAAGTGAACCAGGAATACAAATAAGGGAAAACAAGAGTAATCAACAGGAGCAGGGTACAAAAGAACACAAAAGTTGAACATGTAACACTGGGGCAAGGTAATGACAAAACAAGGATGAACACACAAACAAACGAAAGTACAAAGAAACTAACAAAAAAACCAACAAAACAACAAAACCGAAGCAATACAAAAATACACACACACACACAACGCAAAACAAACCAACAAACGAAGCCGAAGCAATAACCAGAAGCGAAGCGAAGCGAAGCGAAGCGAAGCGAAGCGAAGCGATAACCAAAACCAAATGGGACCGAAGTCAAACGAAAGGCCTTTTCTTTCTGAAAGCCTCCATGTTAAATAGTGAATAAAATGAGTTCTGATTGGCTGAGGGCTGATTGATGATGACATCATATTGAAACAGTGGTGTGATGGTTGGCCAATGGGGAAGGGAGAACAATCAAGGGTCAGCAGTGTGGACATAACAGAAAAAACACACACAGAACACACACTGGGACATAACAGGGAGCAATGGATTGGAGATCCTGGTCTAGAGTGAGGACTGCCACCTACTGGTCCCCACTATAGCGTTCAAAATAAACTCAAAGCACGAGTATTCTGCGGACAAG